GGAGCACAGCATGCGAGCAGTATTCACAATCTGCATGCAAAACGCACAGTGGTTGATGGCATGAAGTCATGTCTTTTAATACGCACTGGCTAGAAGAGCACCTTGGTGTAACATTGTGAAGCTTTGGCTTTGGGGCTTAATTAGACCAAGACGACAGAGCTCCGTGTTGTGCATGGAAAGTCTGTTTGAAGAATGTCAATGAACTGAAAGTCAGAGCAACCATTCTGTTAAAACAATACTTAGCTCTTGCCCCATGTGGTCTTATTTGAGAGCTGAATGCTGATGTGAGTGAAGTGAAATGGAAGAATCCTGTGCTTTCCATCCTTTTTCTTTCGTCTCTCCATGTGCGCAAAAAAAAAAAACACAAACCCACAATTAATCAGAAGGGGCGTGAACCCCGCTACACTGGTAGGAACTATTTCAAATTAGTAAGATAAAATGTGACCGCTCTGCTAGTGCACAAAGACTTCACCTAAATTGAAGTCACTTGGGGATGAGAGCTGCATAGTGCACCAGGGGCAGTTTGGCCTGGCAATTGCTTTTGCAATGTTGAAGGTGGTGGTAGTTCCTGGAAAAATTAAGGGGGAATAACATAAAAAAAAATTTTGCATTTATAGCAGTATAACTTAGAAAGGAGAAAGCAGTGTGTCTGGCCTTGCCGTCTAGCTGTTATGATCTGTCAGCATTTGAGCATCAGCAGCATGCCTGAACAAAGAAAGAACTTGCGCTGGTCCCTCAGCTTTTTGGTGAGGTACAGATTTATTGGGACCTGAGGGGGAAGCTAAAAAAACCAAAAGCACCAAAAGCTGTGGGTTTGGATGAGTCAGCATTTCCATTTGACATGATCATTCAGAGATTTTTGTAACTCATCCGACAAAACACCCAACCAAACACAAAAACCAGCGACCTGGGTCTCAGCCTGAAATTCATTTGCTTTGCAGAAACAAGAGGTTTTGAGTTATGCAAGTGCAAATTTTCCTTGAAGAATATTGTATGTAAAGCCTTTTTTTTGCATTTGTTTATCTCCAAAACAGGTTCATTTTTTAAAATGAAAACTTGAGCCTTCGGTCCCTCCTGTGGACAAATAGCCTTATACAAGGTCTTGTTTCATTTTAGAAAAATGAATTGCTGCGCCGGTGGGGTAGTATTTGATTGCTTTAAAAGTTCCTGTCAGTGTTTTATTTTTGTTTTTCATTTGTGGACTTGCTGTGCCTTTTGCCCGGCCATATTTAGTCTGCATACTAAATGTTAGTCCGCCCAAACACTTTACTTTGTGCACTTAGCTTTTTTCCTTTTTTTTTTCTTTCTCCTTTTTTCTTTCTTTTTTAATTTTTTTTCTTTTGCGTTCACCCAGATGTATTTTAGACCGAGACAGACTTTGCTCCGATGGGCCGGATTTTAGTCCGTGCACTAAATTTTAGTCCGCAGACTAAAAATAATCCGCGGATTATTTACTAAATCGATTCCCTCACTGAGAACTACAGAGACCTTAATCTCCTGCTGAGCCGTATGCGTGAGGGGCTTCACGGCTCATGAGTCCCGCCGTCTGTCCGTCCTGCCTCCCACCCCTTCCCACCACGGAGCGCCGGCCGGGCACTGCCTTGGCACTGGCGCCCCATGGCATGGAAGTGCTGGCGTACCCCTTGCCGCGGGCAGCAGCCACTCGTGTAGTTCTCGGTGGGCGAATTGGGCAGCTTTCCCGGTGGAACTGTGTTGAATGGGAAGAACTAGAAGACCGCAGGGGTTTTCGCTTTTATTTCTTAGGGCGTTATTCAAACGGGAGGCGGGAGGGGACAAATTGAGGGGAAAAAAATTTCTTAAGTAATGGGTGCGACGGGTATGAGGGGGAATAAACCCACAATAGAGAGAAATTCAGTCCATACCCGCACTCCTGAGGTGGTACGTCCAGTTCCTGAAGAATCCTAAAGAGATAACGCCAGCAAACAAAATCCAGTGGCAGGGGAAGTCAATCCAAAATGGAGAATAATCCGCGGCGGCCTGAGGCACTCATAGCTCACGCAAATTGAAAGCATCCAAATTAAAAGTACAGATCTCAGATTTTTACTTTCTCTTCAGCACAAATTATAAATTGCTAGGGGTTTGGTTTTTTTGGAAAATAAAACAAATAAATTAATTTAAAAAAAAACAAACAAACCCAAAGTTTACATTCTATTTCTGAGACAGATTTACAAGTGGGATGCACCTTTGGGGACAAACTAATCTGGCCCCATTGTCTGTGGACGTTTATATCCGGGGCCAAGGACTAAAAATTCTTTATGATGGGAATTTCAATTACCTTTTAGTTCAAGTTAGAGTTTTGATTTCAATTTTTTTTATTTTTTTAGTGAATGCACTGGCATTGGAACATAAATTTAATCTAGAAATGTTTCTATACTATGCCTCACCATTGCACAATCGATTTTTTTGGCATACACTGTGGTGAAGTTGGACTTGCTGCTATGGAGACTGATGTTTAAAGTTTCTAATTGTATAAACATTTTCTATGTCCCCCACACCATGGATTTCTTATAATATTGGCTATATTTTTCCTTGCTGGACTATTCTCTTTTGGATTGACTCCCCCTGTTTGGATTATTTCACTGCATTATCATCTTTAGGACTCGTCAGGAACAGGACATTTCACCTCAGGAGTACGGGTATGTACTTAAACATTTTTTCAAATTACTAGGTCTAGCCTTGAAAAAAAGGAGAGAAATGCTAGAAGTGGAATATTTGAGTTCAAATCGCACCCTTGAGGCAGCAGTCAGACGAATATTGTAACACAAGGTGATGAGATGGGCATAGACCTGTAACTCAATTCATGTGTTAGTCACCACTTGTTGCAGGGGGAGGCCATGTGAGGCCTTCTAATGTATTTTTTTTTATTTTTTTTCCCTCCCTGGTTTGAAGCAGTTAGGGCAGACTTCAGGATCTGCCTGCCTCAAGTATCTAATTTCTGATCCAAAGGCAGGCTGGGCAGTTTTCAACTGAGTTTAGGAAACAGATAACAAGGAGGAGTTTAAGTGGACAGTAAGAGTTCTCCTTTTACAGGTGGCAGATTTGTGACTGCCTGCCTACTAATTTGCTCAAGATAAAGGCTTGTTGCCTTTGCCTTAAGGGGAAAAAAGAAAAGATTATTTTCTATTTAAAATCTGTATAGTAGCTGATACACGAGCTGTCCTGAGGGAAAAACACGGCTAAGAGTGAAGTACTTCAGTTTCAAGCTGTGGTAAGTCAAACTGTTAAAATATCAGTGCAAAGGTAGATGAGGGAGACCTCAGTAGTTTTACTTCACGTTAAATACCAAGCGACTTCACTTCTGTGGATTTACCTCAAGACATACTCATTTGTGCTGTTTGCCTTGGTAAAAAAAAAAAAAAAAAGTTTGTGGTGGTTTGGGGTTTTTTTTTGGTTTTGATTTTTTTTTTTTTTTTTTAATTGGAGGCAGTCTTAGATTTTGTTCTGGTCAGGCGCTGACTTGGGAGTGATACTGGCATCCACTGTGCCCTGCGGTCAGCAATCCCAGCTCTGCAGAAGCAGCGGGCACAGAGCAGCTTCTGCTGCCCTTCCACGTGACCATATGTTCGCGGCACAGCAGTCAGCAGAGGTTCTCTGCCAGCAGTGTTAAGCTAAAGCCTTTCTTTTTGTTATTATAGGCCTTGTGTGAAAACTTTTTTGGTTTGTTTTGCAATAACCCGGTAGTAGAAATAAATTCTGCTCTTTCGGTGACCTGGCTCTTTTGACTGCCTGAATCGGGATTCCCTGCCACACAAATTAGTACAGCACGTATGGCACCAAACCCGGGTGCTCCTGAGCCAACTGGGCACCAAGGGGATAAAATTTCAGTCCCTGGAGATCTTAGCATTTGTATTTTATTCTCATTCAAGAGAGCATATATGTCTTCGGTTTAAAACCTATTTAAGGAGTGCCTGTGCAAGTTCCTCATCTGCGATTAATTAGCATGTCACGCACTGATTTTTTATTTTTTTTTTTTCTCCTTGGTGCTGTGTGGCTTGGGTTGCACTGGTGCAAGAGCATTGTGGATTAGCTCAATTTTTATCAAAAATGCTGGCATCAGAACTTAACACTTGCACCTACCCCACTCCCTTTTCCCCAGCCTGTGTATCACCTGCAACATAGTGAGAGACAAGTGCTTGAGGAGGCCATCCAGGGCATGTACATGATTAGCGCATATTTGGCTTTTGACCTAATGAGAAAGGAGGATGGGGCTGTGATTAGTGGCGGGTGGAACCATTCTTAGAGCTTTAAAAGAAAGCTACAGTGAAGAACTTTTTGTAATCACTCAAGGTAAAGATCTGTTAGAGTAAACAGCTGTCCTTACAAATACCAAATGTGCAGGAATTATCCCAGTAAACTTATGGGAATGACTTGCCAGAATAAGGTCACAGAAGGAGTAGCTCACGAATTAGAGCCAGACATTTCCTGCACCCCACCCGTGCTTTCCTTGTTGTTCTCCAAAGTTGAACAGCAGCCTCCATAGCAACAATCTGACCTGCCTGCCTGCAAAAGTCCATGTTAGTAAGACTTCATTCACTAAAGAGAAAAACCCAACCCAAAACCATAGTGCGGCCTTATTCAATTTTTACATTTAGTGAATCCTGCTCATTTGAACCCTCCTCCCCACCTTCACTCCACCCCATATGCATGGCTGGTAGCACCCGTGTGTGTTTGTCATGATTTTTGAATGAGTTTCCCCTTCATTCTTAAAGTTGTTTTTCTGAGTGCGCTCTCATGAAGTCTCTTGCTGGCATTGCACCCTCACTCTAGTGCAAGACGTTGCAATTAACCCTTTCCCAACCCCAGGAACTGGATTTTTCCCATACTTACTGGAGGACTTTGATTAGCACAAACCGCAAGTTTGTTCCAGCTTGTTGGGCAATGAGAGGTTTAATTGCGCTGACTTGCTTCTGGTCGGCAAAGAAAAGAAGCATACCCAGACAACCTGTTTCTCCTTGCTTGTTTTGTTTGGTTTTTTTCAGGTCTTCCGGCCCCGCACTCCACCAGAAGCAATTGCGCTATGTAGCCGTCTGTTGGAGTACACCCCCACTGCCCGCCTGACTCCCCTGGAGGCCTGTGCGCATTCTTTCTTCGATGAACTACGGGACCCAAATGTCAAGTTACCAAATGGGCGAGAGAAACCTGCACTCTTCAATTTCACCACTCAAGGTAGCCTGTGAGCGTTGAAGGATCCCTTCTTTCGGAAGCAGCACTGGGATAAATGTTCACTGTAATGCAGATCTCGCTCCCTCAAAAGTAAAAAATCTCTGAGCAGGACTAAGGTTATGAAGTGGTTGTGTAACCAGCTGTCCATTTCCAAAAGAGCAGAAAGGGACTTGGAGAAATGAGTTACAGGATTTTCACATGCCTGGTGCCTTCGATTCAAATTTAGTGCAGGGGACTGAGGGTTGTTACTGCATTGCATTAACACAACTTATGTTTGCAGTTCAATGTCTGCAACCTAGCGGATGGATTTGTGTGAAATATCACAGTTAGTGGACCGTGGAGATTAGATTATCGTTTTTGAGATGATCCTGCTCCTTCATACCTGAAACGGCATAGCAAGGAGTAATGCATATTAGGTTTGGCAGGGAGGTTTGTAGTGTTGCTGCACATTTTGGTTCTGGCTGTGAGATAAATACAGAGGCTCTAGTGTCCAGATTTTGTGTGCTGTGCAGTTCATCTGGCATTACATTGACTCAATCGTTTAGAAGCTGTAAAAATGACAGACAACTAACTTTTTTTTTTATTTGAAGCCAGACTGGTATCAAATTTTAAAACCATTCATGTATTTTTTTCCCACAGAAATCAGAAATTTAAAACTGATATCCACCCTAGAACAGTTTTGCCTGCCAAGGCAGAGAGTGTGAGAAGTATGGCAAACAAATATGCTAGTAATTAATTTTGCAGCACTTTTTTTTTTTAAGTGATTAGCTGCCAATTCTCACCCTTTGAGCAAGAATAGATCTGTGTGTATTTTCTGTTGAAAGTTTAAAACACCTTTTGTCTCAGTTAGCATCAATGTAATTTTTCAAACTCTTTACTGCATGCAGTGCCCATCTGCCAAAACGTGAAACAGACCCCTCTTGAACATGTGGAGACCTTTTATTTCATTTTTCAAAGGGGAGGGGCAAAAAGCTTTGTGTCTGTATAAAGTAATATTTTAAGCTGTCTGGAAATAAACTTTTAATTTGCTTTGAGTGGCTGCCTAGCAGAAGGTAAATATAGTGAACATAGTACAACATTACTGAAGCATGAACACCTTAAAGCGTTCAAGAAAATAGCTGGTGCTTCCAGATCACAGTCCTTTGTGCTGATTCCTGCATCTGTTGTTATGAATTTAGTAGTTATGTTACCAGTCCTTCCTTGTAGCAGTATTCATGAATTGTCGTCTTTCCATACTCTTAGGCCATCTTCAGGAGCTAAGATAGCTTTGAACCCAGTATCTTAATACAGCTTCACTCCTGTTCTTTTAGATTTCTTATTAATTGTTTCTTAATAATGTTAAGATTGGGCCTGTCTACTACATGAAAACAAGGATTTTAAAAAGGGTTGGAAAGCTCTGTAGTGAGTCTTTTTAAAAATCCTTAGGGGAAATATAAATGTATGTATTGGGGATGTGTCCCTGGTTTCCCCGTAGGCAGTGTGAGAACTGCTGGGTAAGCTACCCTAACGCTCAAGCAAATTTAAAGCTCCTCTCTTGCCATCCTAAGGAGCTAATGTGCTCTTTCCTTGCACAGTGACTTGTGGGAACAGCAAGAGACATCAGTTCCAGTAGGGTGATTTCCTTAAGATTCAAAAAAGCAGGTTTCTGTCATCAGCAGGTGCCAGTTTTACCATCTAAAAAGGGAAGGCAGGACAGAGGCTGGTCATTAACGTATTTCCAAATAAGCTGTGTTGCAGGTGACCAGCCAAACTCAAAAAAAATAACCAGAGTTTTTTGAAATAAATAAATAAATACATTGCTTAGTGCAGTGATTTTAAGACCTTTGTAATTAATAAATGTGCAGCAGTGATTCTCATGTAGCAGCAGTCCTGATTATGACCTTAAGATACGCAAGAAGTTTTCGCTCCTTTTGTGACCACTGTGCAGTCCTCAGTCTTTAGCCAGACTGTGCAAGTTCCTGTTGAATTGGCCAGTCCAGAGCAGAAATCCCAACTGCGAAATAGATCAGGTCATTGGAAATCAGATGATGACTCATGTCAAGTCATCTGTGGTAATTTAAAAGTAATGAAATACATCCTTTTGTTTTGAATGGCATTTGTTTTCAACAGACAATATCAAGTTCTAGAAAAAGTGTTTATTTTGGCTATATCCAGTTGCCCGAAGCCTATGAAGTAGGAGGTGGCTGCAGAAGGCCTGAAGGCAAAACTGTTAGAAATAACAACATAAATCTAACCTTTAACACATGGGATTGATTTTCAGAAAGAACCTAAGCCTCATGCCAAATCTGTTGATCTGGGCACTGATGCTGCTTAGATAGTCTAGGAAAAAAAAAAAGCAGTGGGAGTACATGAAAGATGAAGATCGTGATCTTCGGCTGCCAGTAGTAGTTGTGGGTCATAGAGGTGCTTACTTTATCGTAGCAGTGAGGTCTGTCAAAGAGAGCTTTATCTGGTCATTCTTAATGTCTTGACTGTAGGTTTCTCTTAGTATTTAAACAAACGTTATATGCTAATTGGCATTTGAAAAAATTATTTTGGCCAAGGAGGTATCTCCACTAGCCACAGAGCTGCAGTTCAGTGGCTGTTAGGCCTGCAAGACAGAGGGCACAGAAAGCAATTTTTCTCTTAGACACTGAATTTTCAAACAATCTGTGAAATGACTACCATTTCCTAAACTTCTTGTAATGTGTCGGTGGTTGTAATTAACCCAACCTTGAATTGCAAGTTTGATTTAGATAAGCAGGCTACAATTCAACAGCTTGTCCAAATACTGTGTTGGAAATCACCGAGAACAGAGGTTCTCAATACTTTGTAGACTGCGTATACCACAGGAGAAGCTTTTTCCTTGATATTGACATATCTTATCCTTACAGACAGGATAGCTGCAAAAATATGGTAGAACAAAAATTCAAACAAGTTCTCAAACAAAGCTGCTCTTAAACTTCAGCCAAAAGAGTTCAATTTACTTTGGTTATTTCTTGTCCAAATTGACCTGCTCCTCTAACTGAAGCATCGAGACATTCGGAGCACGCTCAATTTAAGAAACTTCATAGCAAGGGAGATAATGTGGGGTTTGAGAAGAAGGGAACAAGATCAGTCTTGTAGTCTATGCAAGTTCTTTAAGGTAGCTTCAGAAAAGTGGTTGCACTTGCCTTAAAAACAACAAAAACCAGTATATTTGCCATAATTGGTGCGGTGAAAGGAGGTGTTCTGACGGCATTAGATGAACATATGAGAGGAGTGAGAATGGGGTTGAAGTGCCGTTGGAACTGTGGTGTTCCGTCGGATCAGCTGGTTCTTTGGCTGCAGCGATGCAGGCAGTGTATAGCTGCATCCTTGAGGCACTGCTTAGCGCTGGCAGGCAGCAAATGTTTGGTTTCCTTGACGTTTTTGCTCTGCTTTTGTTTGGGTCATAACCCCATATTGCTGCCAGTGATGAGCAGAAAATAATGCAGGGATGACAGAAGCTTTCAAAAGAGTGAGGTAAACAGCAGATTCCCAGTAATAACAGATGTAAGAAATGGCTTAGGAATAAATACTAAGGGAGCAACATTTTCTAGCGTGGAGCGGCTAATACCCAAGATACTATTAAAGTATAGGTTTATCACGGGTGTTCAGCTTTGACGCGTGAGGATTCATGTTCCTTCAGTTTATTTTTTCCATTTAAAATGGAGACATGCATTCTGAATTATTCCCACACGAACTTGAAGATTAGTATATGTGCAAATGCTGTGAGTATTGAGGCTTTCTAGATTGACGAGCTAGGTTTGCCTAGACCTGAATGGAGTATTACAGGATAGATTGGATGGGTTGCAGGTAATGTAGCAACTTGTGTTTGGTTCTAGACTGGGGCTTGTGTTCGTAAGTGCTGAAAGGCAGTCTCAAAATGAGTTGTGATAAGAGGCTTGTAAGCAGAGGAGAGTCTTCTGCATCTTGCCCTCCCAGCAGTAAAGAAACTTAATGTAACTTAATGGAGAAAAAAAAAAATTGCCTAGTAGATTACTGATCCCTTTAGGCCCTAAATTTAAAACTTGTGTTAAAGAAAAGCAAGAGGCTCTTAAAAATGAGCCCAAATAATTTAAGACTGTACAAAACCACCTTACTGAACCCATGGCATGATTTGGATTGGTTTCTGCACAACCCTTGTTATCTGGAGGTCTTATGTAAAAAGCTGTCTATTCTCATTTCTCCTCCAGATGACCTCCTGTAGCTCCAAAAGTCATCAGTCTCGTTCCGTGAGGTGACCACATCCTTTTCGCCGGATGTTGCTTTCTCAAGAGACAGTCACTCCTGTTTCTGAAACAAACAGGACCTGTCTTGTCTCAGCTCAGTCCCACCTTCTGTGAGGCACTAGATTCTCTTGAAAGGGTGCCAGAAGATTGTCATTTGTTGGCAATGTGTTGCCCTTAATCCTCCCACAGTTGTGGCTGTAAGATGCCTATTTCTCGTTCTGATACACATTGAAGCTATATTAGATTTGGAGCCTAAAAGACATGACTATTTTTTCCTTGGTTAATGTCTTCAGAAAGAATGGTTGCATCATTTTGTTGTCCATTTAAATTGCCCAGCAGACCAATTCCCTTTGCCTTTCCTTGTGCTTTTAAAGGAGATGTCACCTCTTCTTGGCCTCGCTCAAGGAGACTGCTGCAAGAGATTGGTGTTGGGTTCCTGGGTCCTTGAGAAAGTGATGCTTGAGTGAGCCAAAGAACTGAATCCCTGAAGCTCTTGGAGCAACTGGGGCAGCTGCCTGCTTGCTGAACCAGTGCCCAAAGCAGCACCACCGTTACCAGCCTTCTCCTTGAGACTGATTGCAAGTGGGTTTGTGAAGGGAATCCTTCCAGTGCTCAGAAGGAATCATTGTTATCACACCGTTGATAAGGAGCAGGCTTGGCTGGTTCTTTGTAACTCCCAAGCCGCTGTCTTTCTCTAGGAAATAATTCCTTTGCACCACTACTTGTAGTTTTGGCAGTCTTGCTCTGGAGACTGCCTAGCCAAATATTGCTGTGGTTTCCTCTTGCTGGTTGGCAAAGAAGAAAACGTAACGTGACCTTTGGCTGTAAGGGCATGTGTTTCACCCAAGGTTGCTGTTACGGGGGTTAAACCCGAGGAGCTGAGCCTGCTTGCGGGGCTCTTCGTGGACGATGAGCTAACTCTGTTTGTTCCACCTCCCCTCCAGAACTGTCAAGTAACCCATCTCTGGCTTCGATCCTCATCCCTGCTCATGCCCGGAACCAAGCAGCTGCTTCAACCCCTACAAACGCTACAGCGGCCTCAGGTGAGAACATGCGCCTGCCTGCCTCCCTCCCCACCCTCGCTTCCCCTGCCCAGGCACCGTCCCTCTGCTGCGGTCCGTGAGCCACCTCGGCCCTCGAGGTGAACAGGGAAGAAGGGTTCGTTCCAGCGTCACCTGAAACTTGCTCTTGGTAGGTGGTCATTTGGGTACCAGCTGTGGTCACCAACCCAAATCCTAACCCAGGGCACTTAGACTCCACATTTGACTGTGTAGTTTGTTGGTCCTTCTCGCTCAGACTTCCAGTATTAAAAAAAAAATTATTACCTCCCCTGTTTTTTTAGCAATCCTTGTGGATTGGTTTGCACTTAATTTCTGAGCTCTCAGTCAGCCTGAAATTAACACGGACTTGGAGCATGAGTTTGTGATGCCTAGGAAGGGAAGCAACAGCTAGCTTCAGTACACATGGCCTCCGTGGAGCGCGGATGGAAAGGATTTTTCCCCAAAGGCAATAGCACTTAAAAGTCTGGTTAGGGAGTTCAGTCAGTGTGCTCACTGCCTCATCTAAGTAGTTGCAGTTGCTTCTTACTGAGTTCGCTTGTGTCATCTTCGGGCACAAGGCAGATGCTTTTGGGTTTTGGCCAGCACTGAGTGAATTTCTTTTCTGCCTCTCTCACACTTTCTCAAGTTTCTGTCAGAAACCTTTTAAAAGCTCACTGTTGGCCTGTAGCCACTCCATATTGTATTCTGTTTCCAGTGAAAGCTTAAAAGCTGGGTAATATCAGTTGGGCGACTCCCAGAGAAAATCCTAGGTGTGGCAGAGGTGATTCAGTACATGGCACTCTTCCTCTGAGTCAGCCCTGAGTCAGCACGACAGCCAGCTGTCTCGGAGCTTGGGCAACCAAAGGCAGGCTGCAAAATGGGTGTGCTTCCATACGTATCCTGTATGCAAGTCAGTTCCATTTAACGAGGGCTGTGACCCCTTTTTGTGTTGGAGGGCGCTTACTCAGTGTAAGATAGCTGATAAGCAGAAGCCCTAATTAAAAAGGTATTCTTGAAATGTGCAAGAAAGTGTTTGCAGGTTGATGTGCCGGACAGTTACCTGGTATCAGATGTGCTTGGTCCAGCCAGTGCTGTATAGAAAACATTTTCATAGTCCAGGACAGATGTATACAGGTGTGAAAGAGGAGGCTTCTTTCTGAAAACGTAGTAGCAGTAAATAAAAGCTACAGCCAGTACAATTTATGTGGTCTGAATTACAGAGAAAGCAAAATTGCTATTTTCAAATTTAGTGTGTTTGTTTCATACACTTGGCAGTATTTTGCAAATAGTCATGTTCTCTGTTTCCCTCTTATGTGCATCTGTTGCTCAACAATGAGTGAGGGGGAAAAAAAAGCAGATACAGTAGTAAAAGTGATTGAAAAACTACAAAATACAAACATGGAAAATTATTTTAAGCCCTTCTGAAAAATACTGTTTCATGTAGTGTCCCTTCCATGCTTTTTAAGGAGTTCTCTTTGCCAAGATACAAGTCTTGAGGAATGAATGGGGTTAAGTCTATTTTCACTCAGCACTGTCCAAGAGCTCATATGGGGAAAAAATGCATTAGGCTGAGTCCTATATGTGAAGTGTACTAAAAGAAAATCCAAAACCAACCCCACCTTACTGGTGTCAACATTTTTAAACCTCCTGTTTACAAGCAGTGCGCTGAATTGGGGTAGGACCTCTTATTCATAGTTCAAAACTCAAAAATATATCCTGGCAGCTTGGAAAGCAATTATGAAATCAAGTTCACTGTTGGACAACATGCAGCTTTTGGGTTTCTGCAGCACAGCTGGCTTGTAGTTTCTTACTCACAGGGGGTCCTCACAGCAGGCAGTAGGAGTGTCATCAGAGTTGTGATTTTTGGGATTAGGTCCTGTATGAGGTTATGTTAATCTGTTGTGCTTTGCATGCTGATGCTACACTTAGCAAGAGATTTTTCATAGAAGAGGTCCCTCCCTTCCCTGTACCTCCTGCATATCCCAGATAAGTAAATTTCTGGGTTTTCAGTAACTGCTAAAGCAGCATGGGAGCAACTCTCCCAGCTAACCCAGGGCATCCCAATAGGCAGGAGGCTCTTCTGCGAAACGTTTGCTAACGTGACTAAGCAGTACAAGACCAGAAACGACTTTGAGTGGTGATGATGGTACAAAATGTGGCTTTCAAGGCAATTCCAAGGGCAAAGCAAGCTGCATGTAACTGTAATCCATATTATTAGTGTGGAACTCTTGTCTCCCTCTAGCAGACAGAACTGATACTGAGGTTCAAGTGTCCACTGTTATGTCCAGCGTAGTTGCCCGCTCTGTAAGCGTGAGGCACAGGTGCACATCAATGGAAATACAGTGCACTAACTCATCTCTGTAGATAAGCCAGCTGGGCTGTTACCTGCTTGCAGACAGTTACTCCATTTTCATAGCTGTCACGTTGGTAGGCAGCCATGTCAGAATCTCAGCTTTTTGATAAGCTGTAAAGCACTACTTTCTATCATGCACCACGGCAGGGTGATAGTTGGAGAATAACTAGAAAAATGAGGTCTAGTTGTCTGAAGCCTGGCAAAGTAGTGTTTGCCAGCAGACTTAGGAGTGGTGTTGAGAGACGGAAAGATTGACTTTTCAACGTACCATGTTAACAGTGCAGGTTGCATCAAGCCAGCAATACTAGCCCTTGTGCTAACTAATATGACGCACGTATGCATTTTTAAAAGTTATCCAAAACGCGTAATTTTGTTAACTGATATATTCGCAGTGGTGATTTCAACTGACCAATGCAACAGTAATCCTGGGATCATGATCTTAAATGCAAGGAAATTATTGTAGGTAGTTTTACAATTACATTTTTGTAACACTCAAAATGTCCTGTTCTCTTGAGACATAAAGCTGGACTCGCTGTACTAATGGAACTTGGCTTTGCAGTGGGAGCGTGAAGCCTTGCTGCACCAGCATTAGTAAATGTTTATGAGAAATTCTCTGTGACATTAATGGCATGTCTAAAGCAAAGTGGAGGAAAAGAAACATGGGAGTTATTTGCCCCTGCTTGAAATGGTGTGCTAACTTTCTGTGAATTATGCTGGCCATTGATTAAAAATGCCAGTGCAGCTTTGTTCGTGTGGATGCTGACTTGATCTAGCTGGAGGAGGAGGAGCATGCACGCCAAGCCGAAGGCATATCTGCTTGTGTGACTACATGTTTTTCTTCCTGGATCAGCCAGCAGCAGTAGTTACCTCTCTGTTAGTCAGCTTTAAGATGGGAAGAGCATAATTGCCATCTGCAGGGGAGTTGTGCCTGCGGGGATGCTGGGATCATTGTCTTAGGCATCCTGCTGTGTTGATCCCATATAATCCCAAATGCAGTGGTGTGCCTGAACTTTCAGCAACAAAACAGATTAGAGCTGGTGTTACCTGCCAGTGTGTGGCAGTTGAAAAAGACCACGGTGCTCCATAAAATTAAGATTTAGTGCATGTACAGTATTCCCATTGAAGGAATTTTGGAAAACTTTCATTCCTTAACCAGGAGAAGAGGGGCAAGCAATTTGCTCAGGCTTCTGCAATCTCAGCACAGGGATCAGTCCATGACAGTTAGAGGAGTAAAACTTGGGTGTTTCAGGCTCGCCAGTTTTGCTCCGAGCCCTGGATTTCTACATCCATAGGCAGACACAATAGGAAAACTGGGCTTTTCTCCTCCTTTCACTTGTCTCCTCAGCTGTCCTGTGAGGACTTCCAGGCAGGTGGTAGTTTTGTTTCTGTATCTTTGCAGATGAGTAGCACAGACTGTCAGCATTACAAATCCAACCAACTAATGCTGTCATTAGTGCTAATGGGCTTTCTCAGACTGAGTTGGCGTCTCTGTCTTTCTCTGAACTGTAGCCCCATCTTTCCTTTCCGGGAGGTGTCTAAGGAGTGTCACATACCCTCCAAGAAGGCTGAGGCGTTATTCCTCGGAGGGAAAAGCTGAATTGGAGGAGGTGCTTTACATTGATGAGATACTTTTGCCCTCTGTTTGGAAGAAGTTTTAGAAGTGGCTGACTCTTAAGCCCTAACGTGATTTTTTTGCCTACACAGGCAGTGGTGTCAGGTTGGTAGTTTAGGGCAAAGAGGCTGCCCTGACCTCAAGCCGCAGGCTGCGGTGTTAGTCATCTGTCCCATACCAGAAAGCTGCACGTCAGCTCCTAGCTTCGCTTCCCAGCAGGGCTTCCATGGTGGCGCAGGCCACTGCTTCACAAAGCAGATGTTTTAGCAACATTGCTGAAGGCCTAGATTTTCTTCACTTATGCTGAAATACTGTTTTTTTATGGTGAGGAGGAGTAAGCGAACGTCCAGAGACCCTCATGCTCCGGTTGTGCTCCTGTTCTGGCACTTCAGCAAAGAGGTGCTGGAACAAGCCCCCTCTTTGTTCCCCCAAAATGCCCTGTCAATGCAGAGTCAAAGAACAAGCTGGAATGTCAAAATACTGCATTTTCTTCCATGTTTGGAGCCAGTAAAGCCTTGAGCCCGCTCTGCACTCCTTTCCCAGCCTGGGTGGGCTTCTATATATTGTTGTGAAAAAGCCCATGTAAAAGGTCTCAGGCTGCATTACCTGGTTTATTTTCTTTTTAACATGTGGCATATATATTTCTTAGGAACTCCCCTATTAGACTGATGATAGAAAAGGAGCATATGTTATATATGTTACATGAAGGACCTCCATCCCCTCCTTTTTTTTTCTTTATCTCTGCTCAGTAGCAATGTAATGATAACGATTTCAGCCACTGCTGTCTTCAGGAATAGGAGATCAAAAGGCGTATTTCATTTCAGCAAATGAAATACAAGGACTTTTTGCACGCATACAGAGAGATCCTCTGCCAACAGTACAGACTCCAGCTGGACTGCTTGCATCAGGCATGGCAGATGTTGCATTAACTGGAATTTATCCATACCTGAAAATTAATCTAGAACAGGCACAGTGAGAGTTTAAGGTGTGGAAACTATTACCTGTCTGGCTTTTGATTTCTGTGGTCATCGTTGGTCTGCATGCATGTGGGATTTGAGAACTGCTGCTTCAGGGTAATTCTCCACGTAGGAGGATGTCTCTTGCGTGCAAGGCTAGCTTTCCAGATAATATTGGTACTGTCGTCATGCTGCCTTGGTGCTTTAACTGCACGAGCTTTTTTTTTATCATGATAGTCATTCCTTAGTGAGAGAGGGATTGCAATTAATTTGGGGCAAGCGGAAAGGGAACAGGAGTCTCCCAGAGCAGTAGTCTGGCATCCTCTGCCCACAGGAGGATTTCCCTTTCTTCCCACGTGCTCCTCGCGGCATATCCTTTTCAAATAGGCGTCATCCTCTCTTCCCACTTGTCCCTTGTATTCCTGGATGCTGCTGTTTGTTTGATTTCCTATTTCTGTTATCGTTGTCTGTGTATGTTACTTAATTTGTCACTCAGCAAGTGCTACCCATCTCTAGACTCTCCTTCACTTCATTGCCTTTGCTCACAGCTGCACTTCCAACTAGGGTTGGGTCCCTGTGCCAGGAGAGGAGAGAGGTTTTGTTAAGAGGTGACTGTAGAGCGTTGCCTCACAAGCTCTTACGTGCTGGAGAAGTATTACTGCACCCCCACTGCCCACTAGTAGTATTTTGTCGTGTCTGTCATTTATGCTGGTCATACTGTCCTTCAGTCTGAGGTCAGTAAATCTATTAAATCTGTTCTTTATTTTTATATGCCCTTTTCCTCATGTCTTTCGAATGCACTGTTTGCCCAGTCTGCCCTCTTCTGTACTGAGATAATAAGTCTTTTTTTCTCCTGTTGCAGTATTGATAGCTTTGCAGTTAACCTTACTTAAATTCAGTGGGAGAAATGCACAACGGTCTCTTGTAGGAAACCTGACTTAGTATCTTTTTCCCACCCTGTATTTGTTGTGTTGAGTATCTCATGTGTTTAACCATTTATCCACTTTACCTTTTGTGACCGTGCTAATTAGGTACTTCATAGGATGGTTCCAGATGAAGTCAGTGCATTTATTTTTTTTCCCCTACCAACTCTTCCAATACCAAGAACAATTTTTTTAGAGAAAATACCTGATGCGTGTAGCCTGTGAAAACACAGTTACAGTGAATTTCCTTTTGGTATTTCTTTGTAAACCCTGTGTTTTCTTGGAATGCACTTTGACACGTGTCCATGATCCTGTGACCAATGCAGAGCACTGTCCCTCCCAGAGAAGAGAAGGTGTTGGAGACCATTTACTGCAGAGACCCAATCCCCTAACAATGTCATATGCTTGTGTAAACCTCGTCACTGACTCCAGGCCTTGATGTTAATCTGCTTCGCCAGTTCAGAGGGTGGTTGGTCCAACTTTGGTTGAGCAACACAGAATAAAGCAGTAGACTTGAAAGATGTTTTCTGAGGCAACAAGCACGTGGATTACACACGAACACACAAGCTGTTTCTGCCAGGGAAGCAGGCTCATCACTTTGATTGTGTGTGCTCATTCACACAATTAACACCTTTGATACAAGAAGGCCAAACAATATGAAACTTCAGCACCAACATGGAACCTTCTAGTGGCCGCAGATACCTGATGCGTTAGCTTTGGTGATGCCAGTGTGCCTTGCCTTGCAGTTAGATTTACTGGAATGTAACGTGGGTGAATTAACACCGCGCAAACGATGTTACATCCTGCAAAATCTGCTAGAGCCCAGCTGGGTGTTTGCGTGCCCGCCTGCAACCCTCAGCCTTCGATGTTCCCTTTGTCCTGCTTAAAGACCATCTTCCCACCCTCTCCCCAGACTGAACCGTTCCATCTGCACCCCCTGAAGGCGGGAGAGCATCCTGACCAAACGGCACCTCGGTGGGAATTGTGGGTTTCCCTGCACAGAGAATGTCATAGCTATTGTTCAAAATGTGTCTGTATTTTGGAGGTAATACTGGTTGTTTTTCTCTCTTCCCTTCCTTTTGCCTGTCGTTTGCAGATGTTAACGCAGGAGAACGAGTTCAGACCAATAGTGTAGCTACAGCATCAGCCTCCAACTCCACCTGAACCGGTACCAAGCAGCCAGCTGCACAGGAAAAATCACCAGTAATTTGAGTCTTGCTCAGCAACACTGGTCACATTTGGAAAGAAAATTAAAAAGAGGAAAAAAAAAAAAAAAACCAACAAACCAACCAACCTGTTCATTTTAGTGTTCAATTTTTTATTATTATTGTTGTTCTTATTTAACCTTGTAAAATATCTATAAATACAAACCAGTTTCATTGTATTCTCACTCTGCAGGGTGTCCGGGGCAGGGGACTAGGTGGGGGGAGGAGGGAAAGCGGAGCAATACAACACACCAATGTCTCTCCCCTCGACAATCTCTTCATGTTGGAAGTTTGCTGTTGTGTACTTCAGAACCAGGACTCTTGCCTCATGCCCCCTTCCACAACAGAAAGAAGGAAAAAAAAAAAAAAAAAAAAAAACCAAAATAACCCCCAAACCTCATTCTCTGCTGAAGTTCTTTTTTTAACCTCTTTTTTTATTTTCTTTTTAAGTGAAGTTTTGGACTTTGATGTAGTGCACAGCTTGAATTTGGTCGGGAGCTTAGCAGGGGTCATTCAACAGAGCTCAGCATTTCTCGTCAGCGAATCCATATCCCAGGTTGTCTGAAGAACTGCCCCGGCTCGGTGTGGGGAGCGGGCGACGTGGTAGGCAAATAGGTTGCCGTGGGGTAGGGGAGGGAGGGAGGGAGGGAGGGTTTGCCGTGTGTCGAAGGCTTGAACCTCTAGTGGAAGCCTTTCATTTTAAAAATCAGTGCTAGTGATGAAGAAACGTGCAGCTTCGTTATGGGGAAAAAGTCTTACCCACGTGGGTTATATATAATATAATACACACACATGCACGAACGCAAGCAGTTAGCTTTACTGAAGCAGCTCCTTTGCCCAGCCGGAGCTCCTGCCCCCCGTGTCGCGGGCCGGTGCCGGGCAGAACGGCCGGGGGAGGCGGGGGGTCAGCTCCCACCTTCAGCAGAGAAGAGCGGACGAACAAAATCCTTGGAAGAGGCGGGGGCCCAGCCGGGGATGTTAAGGGACTTTTTGGAAAGTGGCCACTGTGAAAGTTTTTATGTTTTGGGTTGTTTTTTTTTTTTTTAATTTTTTCTTTTGTTGCCCCCGCCCCCGGGCTCTAGATTTGAACAGGCTTCCCTTTCCCAAGGTGCGTACAGGAAAAGGACACCAGGGTTTATAATGTGAACTGTAACAGTCTACTGGTTTATTTTGTAATTTTTAATTTTTTTTTGACTGCAGTTTTAACTTGCAGGATGCCACATTCTCCAGTAATTCTGATTTTAAATCCACAGCTAGAATCTGTATTTAATTTCATCTTTTTTAACCTCTTGCTTTTTTGATCTCTATTTATTGATGCGTGTTGCCACGTTGCCATTATGTTTTTACATTGGTAGAATATTAATAAAATACACATCGGAGTGCTCTCGACAGTAATTTGTACCTGCTGACTTGTAGGAAAGCTGGCTATATATGAGTGTGTGTGTATATATATTATATAAATATATACATGTATACATAGATACAATACTGCTTTTTTTTTTATTTTGTCTACGCTCTCGAAACAGTCTGACTGAAGCGTGAGGTGAATGCTTGTTCAAGTCCATCTGTTCAGGGTCCGGGTTTCCTCCCTGCGACGGCGCGTGGTGTGAGCATCCACGTCTCTCTTCCTGAAGTCAAAGCAATACTCCTCGGGAAAGGGTCAGGTGAGCGGCCGGACGCAGCCGCGGCGTAGAAACGAGACTTTTGGAGACCTGATCTTGTCGTAGGCTTGCAGTTGGTGTCCGCTCGGGCCTTATCCTTCTTCGGAGAAACTGTAGTCGCCTTTGGTGCTTATCGAGCTGTTATTCAACCTGCGGATCTCTTAAGGCAAGCGGTTGCTTTTGGGGAACGCGCGGGCCTTCGCGTGGCCCGGGGGTAGCCGGCAGTAGCGGCTTTGGCAAGCTCGGCCGCTGCAGGGGCGGCAGGGGTCTTGCTCGCGAGCTCAGCGCCTTTCCTCTTGTACCTTTTATGCTGTTGATGTGGGATTTTGTTTTTTTGGAAACTGTCTCAGCAGCCCCAGAGGTGATAAAAGCCCTGCCCTCTCCCTCCTGCCTGACGCACAGGGGGTTTCGGGGAGGCAGGAGCTGTTTCAAGAGGTGAGTGACCACCTACCGTGAAACCGATAAACCCTCATGTTATATGCCTCGGCGGTTTGCTGTCGGGCATACACACACACAAAAAAAAAAAAAGGCTTTAAAGCTTTTAGCTGACATTAAATTCTGGCTGGCTGCAAAGGAAAGCGCACCCACGTTTAGAAACGGAAGGCTTTCCATATCCTTACATGCAACTTAATAGAAAGGGCTGAAGAGCATCTTAATGCGAGAGCTCGGCTAGTCAGTGTCCCGAAAGGTAAGTGAAGGGGCTTGGTTGACCCAGTGATCCAAATAGATGCAGGAGACTCAAAAAGTAGGACAGTGGCAGGGGGGGGGGCTGCTGTATAGGCGCGACTGCTGAGACATTTAACATTGGCCACAGACGCTGTTATTTGGAGGCAGGAAATTCCCGAGTCTTTAAAAAAAAAAAAAAAGTAATAAAAATAATGAAGAAAAATTGCTGCTTGTGCCAGAAACGTGGCTTTTCTTCTTTTTTGTTTTATCTTTTCATTTAAGACTGGCGGAGGGGAGTTAAGAGCATTTCTCTCTGGTTTTGTGACTGTGCCGGCGTCTGTGTGTGTGTCTTGTGTGTGTGTGTTAGGTTGGGGGGAGGGTCGGGGGTGCCCCTTTGGTTTTATTTCTTTTTTCAAGGATCATGGCAGGATCACACACTCTTTTATACAAGTTAGATCCAGGTCTTTGAATAACCTTTTTTGTAAATAAGAAAAGAAAAAAAAACACAAAAAAACCAACAACAACAAAAAAAAGCTCCTCACCAAATTCAAGCTTGTACATTATTATTTTGGTTGTTTTTGAATTTTGAGTTTTATTGTTTTGTATGTAAATATGTGGACCCAGGAACTGTTATTAATGAGCAAAAAGTTACCGTTCAGGGCAGTGATTCTGTTTAATAATCAGACAAAATGTAGACGAGCTTTTTAAAGCCATATAGTTTTAACTCTGTACAGTAGGTACCGGCCTGTATTATTGTAACAATAACTCTAGCGATGTATAGTGTATCTATATAGTTTGGAGTGCCTTCGCTTCCATGATTTTTTGAATTTTATTTCCCTTCCCCCCCTTCTCCTTCCCCCTCCTTTATTAATGACGTCTCCCACCCCAAACCCGCATCTCTGCTTCCCGCCATCCCCCTCCCTGCTTTCTAACTCTTTTGAGTGCTGTAAGGTTTCGGTGATACCCTGATCAGTAGCGGAACGAAAGGAAAAAACCATCTCCACCGTCATTCATTTCATTGGAGCCGTGGCTTTGTTCTGGATGTCTCCAAGTTGCCCACCCTGCCCTTCTCCTCCCGCTAGCAGCGACCGGTTTTGTTCAGACACTTGCCCTAGCAGCTCATTTAGACTTTGCTCGTCTCTTCCCCCCAAATCCTGCGCCCAGAAGTCGCCTGGGCGGCAGCCGCTTCCAGGAGACTCGGCCTTTCCACCCTCCCTGCGGCTGTGCCGGGGGCAGCGGCCGGGCGGAAAGGACCCCCAGGGAGGCAACCCCCTCCGCGCACCCTGCAGGGATGCTGCGCTTGGAGCCCTTCAGCTGCGGTAGGAGCAGGGGCATCGCTGTAGGAGGCCACGGTGGTTTCTTCTGCTGGGGGGACTTTCTGCTCCCTTTCTTCTCCCCGTTTTTTCCCCCACGCCCCTCCCCAAAGTCACTTTTGTTTTCTTGAGATGATAAGTTTAACATGACTCTTGATTTCTTGTGCCCAGCACGAAGGCCTTGTTTCTAAAACTAGTTTGCTTGTGTTTTACTACCTTGTTAGTATTCCACATAAGATTGTCTTGAATGGGAAAACACTTAACTCTTTACCAAACCAAAGGTTGCTGTTTTATTTCGAAGCATCTCGTGTTCATTCCAGTGAAGCAGAGGCTGCACTTTCTTTCTGGTGACACGAAGGTCAGTGATGCCGAGCTGTTGGCGACAGTCTGCTCAGAGCTGTCCCTCTCTTCTTTTACTCTCTTTCGGGCTTGTTTTTAACCCAGTCTGGTCTTGATCTGTCCTTTGCCTCAGCCCTTCTGTGGCGCGGGTCTCTGAGCTGGACTCGATCGATCGCGGTCCGTCTCCCCCGATGGACGCCTGATCAAGACGCTGGTGGTCTTTAATATTAAACTTGCCTACTTGCTAGGGGAAAAAGAAAAGAATTAAAAGAAACAACCTGCAAAAGAAAATTGGCTGGTAGAAGATCCCCAAACACTTTGTCCCCTAATTTGGAAGCCAAGCGTTACCTAAAATAATGGCAGGTGCCTGCGACTTGCAACTTAAAATTTCCCCCGCTTTTCAGTATTTGGAAAAGTCGAAGTCAAGCAGCCTGTCAGACTCGTACTCCTGTCCTAGGAACCTCAGCCACCGCAGAGAAAAAAAAAAAAAAGGAAAAAAAAAAAAAAAAAAAGCAGATGAGGAAAAGCACAGTAGGGTATTCGGTCCGGGCTCTGCCGTTGGGAGACTGCCAGCGGGTACCCCTGGGGTGGCAGCTGATTTCCGCGGGGCTCTCAGCCGGTTCTGGTCGTAGTTGGCTTCGTTTTGCAACACTGCAATAACGGCAAAACGACAGGAAAGGAAAACAGTACCGAAGGGGTTAGCTCGAGAAAAGTAGCTTCCTTGTGTTGGTCTTTCTCAATTTATTTTTAATATATATATATAAAAAATATATTTATATATATATATAATTTGCTTGCCTGTAAAATTTGCGTTCATTAATGTGTTGCTGATGGATCACTTGGGCCTGTACACACCAATTAGCGTGACCACTTCCATCTTAAAAACAGAAATCTAAAAATATATATATATATTAAGGACTGTGGGTTGTATACAAACTATTGCATACACTTGTGCAAATCTGTCTTGATTTAAAGGAAAAGCAAAACCTGTATAACATTATTACTACTTGAATGCCTCTGTGACTGATTTTTTGTTTTTTTTTTTTTTCATTTTAAATATAAACTTTTTTTGTGGAAAGTATGCTTAATGTTTTATTATTTCCCCCCGCCCCATTCCCCTTGTAAATACGTTTTGTTCTGTGTGACTCGGTTCGGAAATAGTTAACTGGTACTGTAATTTGCATTAAATAAAAAGTAGGTTAGCCTGGAAATGAAATTTAAAAAATACCAAGTGTGTGGTCTTTATTTCAAAAACTTGCCCCTTTCTCTCCTCCTCCTCCTCTCTCCCTTCTCCGCCCCTCGTCCCTCGCCCTCACGCCTCTTTCCACTCCGCAAGAATAGGTGGACGTGAATCTTTGTAATAATAATTAAAAGAAAAACCACAAGAAATAAGCATGTTTTCTT